ACATTTAAAAAGGATCAAGTTGAAAAAAATTAATAAAGCTCTTACCATATCATCTAGAAAAACCGTCAGTTTTTTTAAAAGTTGTATTACACACTGGAAGAGTTTTCATTGAAAGTTGAGCCATATAATTTGTGAAGAAGTAAATGTATGTTCCAACGAAGCAAACATTAATAAGCTTTTATTTCTCAAGTGTCCTCCACTCTAAAACTGGTGCTGTTAAATGCCAGGTCTGTGTCCAAAAAATCCCAGATCATTCAAGATCTTATTCTGGAGGAGGATGCAGACCTGGCGTGCATGATCGAGACTTGGATGAGCGGGGAAGGGGGAGTACCCCTGACCCTGGTCTCTCCTCCCGGTTATGCAGTCCAGCACCAGGGTAGACTGGAGGGGCGGGGGGGGGAGTAGCCATTGTTTATAGAAATACTCTTGAGGTTACTAGGTGCTCTAGTGTGGTTAAGCCAGGTCTGGAAGCCCTTCATGTGTCAGTTGGGACCAGAGACGGTATTGGGATCTTGCTGGGTTACCATGCTCTCCGCGACCCAGCCACCTCCTTACCCGAGCTGGCAGACTTTGTCTCCGCGGCACTGTTGGAGTCCCAAGGCTTTTAGTCCTGGGTGACTTCAATATCCATGTGGAGGCAGAGTTTCCGGTCCAGCTCTTGAGTTCTTGGAAACCATGGCTTCCTTGGACATGTCCCAACATGTCAACGGTCCCACACATGTGGGCGGCCATATGCTTGACCTGGTATTCTCCACAGAGCGGAGCGAGCGTGGTCTGATGGCGACTGACCTGGTGTCCCCTTGTCATGGTCAGATCAACACCTAATAAAATGTAACCTCTCAGTGGCACTCCCTCCCCACAGGGAGCATGGACCTATTTCAATGGTCCGCCTTCAAAGGTTACTGGATCCTCTGCGATTCCAGGATACCATGAGAGGGATTCCAGCTGATCTGTCTGGCACCCCTGTCGAAGCTCTGGTCGACTAGGGCTGTAGACACGATCACTCCCAAATGCCCTCTCAGGCTCAGCCAGGGTCTCGGTATAATCGGGACCTACGAGCAATAAAGCGAAACAGGAGACGGCTAGAGTGCATTTGGAGAGAGGAACCAACGGATTATAATAAGAAAGCTGTCAAGATGGCAACTAACCATTACCTGGCTAAGGTGAAGGCTGCTAAACAATCACACTTCGCTGACCGGATAAGCGAAGCTTCAAATCAGCAGGCAGAATTATTCTGTATAGTCCGCAATCTATCCGGAATTGGTCTGGGTGATGGGCCTCCCTCTAATATCTCACCTGACCAATTTGCAACATTTTAAAAATCAAAAGTGGAGGCCATCCGCCGGGATCTCCCTCCTCCTTTAAAAACAGTGGGTCGAGTAGAGATGTCTAGAGTCAGAGTATGCCACCTCTGCAGTTGTCTATGAACTTAAAGCACTGTCACTAATTTCATTAATTTGAGTTGTCTCACCTTGATGACAAGGAATTTTCAAGCCTTGTCAGATTCCTTGTCTCCATTTGAAAGCAAAACTGTGTCCTATTATTTGTGGTCAAAGCCTCCATAATTTATGCAAAGTGTCTCTGTGCAAAACTAGGATTCCTTTCCTGTCAGAAGCAAAGGATAAACACAGCAAGCACAAAAGGAATAGCTCATTGATCAGAAAGATGCAAGCACCCTTCTCCATTCTTGAAGCTGGTTCAAGAATAGTTTCAGTCTAATTCATTAGAAACACCTGCTTGATTTGCCAAGGTGGCTTCCTGGTTTTGTTCCAGGCTTTACACATTAAGACCTGAAAATCAATAATAATAATAATTTGCCTTGTCCAGCAGGCCGAGGCAAAGAGGCAGTCACAGAAGCAGCAAAACCAGGGAGCTGGACAGGGGACAGATTGTATTTCTCTTCAGTGTGGAAGGGATTTATTTATTTATTGGACTTATATACCGCCCCATAGCGCTACAAGCACTCTCCGGGCGGTTTACAATTTTAATTATACAGGCTACACATTGCCCCCCCAGCAAGCTGGGTACTCATTTTACCGACCTCGGAAGGATGGAAGGATGAGTCAACCTTGAGCCGGCTACCTGGGATTTGAACCCCAGGTCGTGAGCACAGTTTTAGCTGCAGTACAGCGTTTTAACCACTGTGCCACTCAGCCACACTAGATGCTGTTCCAAGTCCTCCATACAGAGCACGATACCATAGTCTTTCGAGACTGAAGGATGCCTAATGCTAATGCTAATCTAGATGGATAATAACTTCTCTGAAATGTACTTGATTGGTCATTTGCTTGTATTTTTCCTGCAGTCCAGACAGTATAAGGCTTGGCTTTGCATGAATGGTGACAAAACAATCATCATCTGAGATTTTTCACTACTTTGTCCCCTCTGAGAGGGATGATTTATTTTTCCTCATTTATACATTGTTCCAAGGGGCTCATTTCAGTCCTATGGGGCTTCCAGTGTTGATTGATGAGGCCAGAGGTTTCCAAGGATAAGCTTTTAGCTAAATTCTTGTAAATGCAGTTTCAACAATTTTAGCATATACTTCTGAGAGAAGTGGTTTCTCTGAGGAAGAGTTCGAAGTACTTGGGGGTTCATTCCCAAGGTTAGAGTTCCTGGTTGGAAGCTTTAGAGTTAGGTACAGTTAGGTTCAAAAACCAGACATATATAGACAATGCTGGAGGAGAAGCTCCAGCAGCAAATATTTAGCTAGCTAGCTGGCTGGCCAATTTCATTGATGCCTTTCTCCAAATGAGTAGACTCAAGGCTGCTAAATTGGTTTTTTAAAAAACATTTAAATAAAATAGTATCAAAAATTTCTTAGGGGAGACAATGTTTTCAGAAAGGTAGCTTTAAAAATGCATGAACAGCCCTTACTGGCAGGTAAGTCTGTTGGTGTTTCTTAATGACATGAGTTGGTCATTTATAGCCCATTAACACTCAGTGTTTTATCAGCTTGTGAATCACAATTGTATTTGACAGCTGAAGCTTAAAACAGGAAACTGTTTCAAGCCACAGACTGAGTCAAACACAGTTCTGTCTCTCTGTGAATTGTGGCCAGACACAGGCTTTCTATGGGGACCTTTGTTTATATGCACTAAGTTTTATTAAGGAAAAGGGAGTGCCTTAAGGGTCAGAGGTTGTGGTTTGTGCTCGGCTTCTCCACTGTAATCCAGCTGTCTGTCTATCTCCCTCCCCTCCCCATTGCTTCTGCTGTTGGAAGCACACTGGTAATAAATCATGTGTAAAATAAGTATTTATTTCTCATCATCAAGATTAATTATTTGCGGTAATCTCTTGAAACTATCAGGTAGGGGTGGGAAATATTTAATATTGTCATATTTGAGCCAGAGAAGGGAATTTTCAAATTGAAGATATCATTAGATGTATCCAGAAATAATGGTCTCAATGTTCAACCTGAAGGATACCTATTGAGGTACCTTTTTCTGATTAGAACTTGGGGACTGAGAAACTTATGGGTTTATTTGTTTGTTTTTGTTTTAACTATGATTCTTAGACTTCCCTTCTGGCCAGCGTGGACATGATGGCTGGAGGATTCTGGGATTTGTAGTCCAAATAGGATTTTTCCAAGTTCTGTTACTCTAGAGTAACTTAAAACAAGACATTTAGCTCTCATCAAAGCAGATTCTTAACACAGGCTGTATTCCATCTGTCCTAAAGCTTTCTCTCTAATTCCTGTTTTGAAGTCCTCAAATTTTCCAACTTTCTCGCTTGATGGAATAGCTAGAGTGGCTTCAGAGGGGACTTCTATCAGATTATAGTTTAGAAGGCATTTTGTAGCTATTTCGTCTTTCCCCCCCACTCTTTATTGGGGTTTTTTTAAGACAAGGGGAAAAACATAAAAAATACACAAAGAATGGACGATGATATATATTGGAGCTTCCAAGAAATTCAGTGATGGAGGTAGGGTAATGCCATGACAAAAGGCTTATTTCCATCTCAAAAAACTGTTCTTCTCACAGCTGTATGGATATTCAATATTTTCTGACTTCAGCAGTTAGAATATGCTTTCAGATCACTGTGATCTATAATATTTAAGTTGGAGGACTATCAATTTCTAATTGTTGGTGGATCAATAATGAAATCTAATGCCATCATATCACTTGATGAGACTCATTTGTCTGTAGCTTCACTCCTCCCGTACAACATGAAACAACATACAGATGACAAAGCCACATTTTTGTGGCTGTTTTGTCTGGTTTGCAAAACTATTACCCCAATATGATTTTGGAATTTGTTTTGGGGCTACTTGGCTATCTTTCTTTTTTGTTTAGGATGCTGTAACAATTATGGCAGTTTACCTAAAGTGAGCTCATGGTAAGGTGTATCAACCAGGGTCTAACTTTCTCTAAGTATGTGGATGAGACTGCAGAACAGATGATGACTAGTCATCTTTCTTTCATATACAGAATATACTATTGATATTTAGGTCTATTACTTAGTCGCTTCTTTTTCACTTTGGTTCAGTTATTGTGGGAGTGGGGAGAGAAAATAATGGGCTGATTTTGCTCTGAGCCTTTGCAATTTGAATTTGGATTTTGTCTCAGTTTGGATTAGGGCTGTGTTTTACACAAGGCCTTTTTCTCATGTGTCTTTATAATTTGTCTAAAACACTTGAAGAAGACACCATTCTTTCTCTCTTCCTCTTCCTCTTTCAACTCTTCTAATCTTGCCCAACATGCTGAGAGCTGTTCGCTGGAAGGTGATTTGTTGAATCAAGATTCCACAGTGAAAAAGTTGGCATCTGAGCATTAGTAACCACCAGAGTCTGAGCAAGCAATGTACAAGTCGGCACACCCTGCATCTCTACCCACTTACCGAGCATTCTTGACACACCCAAGAACAGAAGAAAACTCCCAATCAAACCTTCAAATGTCGTAGCCTCCGGAAACAGATTGTGTTCTCCCTCCCTCTGCCTTTTCTTTTTAACCCTTGAGGTTCTTTTTCCTGGCTTTTAATACCTAAAATAGACATAGAGATGCTAAGGAAATAAATCCCTGGGTTTTAATAACATTCCTGAGACAACGTTGTGGCCCTGCAGTTTTAAAAAGCTGGAAAGGAATAATAGGTAAGAACAGAGGTACTTGTGTGGTAAAATGTATGGCTCAGGGCTCAGTTAAATTCCGAGGAGTGTGGATAAGCTAATTTGTAAAGATTTGTGAGTAAGGCATGGGTGTTGCTTGTTCTTTTTAATGTAACAATCAGCTTAAGAAGCTGCCTTACATCGGGCCAGGTTATATGTCCAGCTTGGCCAGTATAAACTTTTATGACTGGCAAAAGTTCTATAGGGTTTCAGGCTTCCGTATCAGCTGTTACTAATCCTTTAAACTGGAGATGCCTGCAATTTAAATTGAGACCTTCTATCTAAGGTATGAGGGACATGGTGGTTCTGCGGGTTAAACCGCAGGGGCCTCTGTGCTGCAAGAAGACCTGCAGTCATAAGATCGAATCCACGCGTCGGAGTGAGCCCGTCGCTTGTCCCAGCTCCTGCCAACCTAGCGGTTTGAAAGCATGCAAAAATGCAAAATGCGAGTAGATAAATAGGTACCACCACAGTGGGAAGGTAACTGTGTTCTGTGTCTAGTTGCGCTGGCCGTGTGACCACAGAAGATTGTCTTCGGACAAACGCTACCTCTATGGAACTGGACGGGAAGTAAGCACCATGCCCTAGAGTCGGACATAACTGGACAAATTGTCAAGGGGTACCTTTACCTTTACTTTTATTTAAGATATGTCCTCAGCAGCTGAGCTCCAGTCAGTCTGCTATATGGCTATATTTAAGTCACTGTTACCAAGATGGCATTTATTGTGAAGAAAATGACAGTAAAAATGCCAGTGTTCCATTCCTATCGTGCTTCTATTGCAGTAGAATCTGAAAACACTGAAAACTGCAGATTACTTTCTCCCTGGCATAAAATGAAGTGGTGGGTGACATCTCTTTGGTTGCATTTCTGAGCATTGGGGAATAGGAGTAACCCCAGGAAAGCCTCCACACTATATGTAAGCAGAAAAATACTCAGATATGTGTGTTTCCCAGACACCAGCTTTCCAGAAAGTCTGCAGTGGGGAAAAGACTGCACAGTCACTAATAATCCCACAGTTATCCACCTCAGTGATGTTGTAATATGTGCTGTTGTTTAGAGGAAACCAGTAGTTCTGAGTAACCAGACCACTATATATGACTGCAGCAAAACAGTTTGTTTTATTTGCGCAATTGTCCCCTTTCCCATCCTTTATGGTCATACTATGTTGTCCTATTCCATCACCAACAGGTACGTCTCAGACTCTTTGCCAGGGAAATGGGACCTGAATAGCTTGTCATTTAAACCCTTGTCGGGACTTTTGGTTCTTGGTAACTATGTGCTCATCTCAAGCAGCAAGGCTGGAGAATGTGTGGACCTTCAGATGTTATAGAGTTACAACACCACTATTTGTGATCTCTGGGATTGATGGGACTTGCATTTCCACAACATTTGGAGACTGAGCCATATTATTCATAAGGCAAACTAGGCTGAAGCCTAGGGGCCCCTCAATTGACCAGCTGTCTACTGAAAGACTGACAAGCTAGAGGGGTCCCAAAATACCTGAAAGCCTAGGGGTCTGGCCATAGGTTAATATGGACTTGTCTGGAGAGCCACAGGTTCCCCATATCCCCTCTTCATTATTTTTTATTGATTACTGGGTAAGTCATCTAAAGCAACCATTCTCACTGGATGCTATATGACCCCCTGGGAGGCCATGACAGATTTGAAGTGGGCCACAGAGTGGAAACAATGCTTCACATGCCATCTTATAAGGTTCATTATGTGACATACAATCCTGATCCAGTCTATATTTCTTTCATATTGTGTTTATGGCCATGACCAAAAAAGGTTGAGAATGGGTGATCTAAAGAATATGTCAGTTTAATTTCCCATCAATCAATGGCTCTTTTTCTTGAATGAACTTTTGTATCCATTTAGCTGAAAGCAACATTTATATTTTCTGAGCATTGTGTGCAAGAGGTACCATGTTTCTTTGAAAACAAGACAGGGTCTTATATTAATCTTTGCTCCAGAAACACATTAGAGCTTATTTTCAGGGGATGTTTTATTTTACAATCATGTCATCTTCTGGTTGCTGCATAATACCGCACAATTATGGAGGGTGGGGTTTCACTTAACTAGGGCTTATTTTTGGGGTAGGGCTTATATTACTGTACGAGCATCCTGAAAAATCATACTAGGGCTTATTTTCAGGTTAGGTCTTGTTTTCGGGGAAACAGGTTATCATACCCAAATATGTGAAATGAGGCCCATTTCTTCTTTTAAGTCACAAGTTGCTTTGCCTAAGTTTGAAGAACCCAAACATTTCATTTTTTTCCTGTATTGTTTGCTGGAGGAAGAAGTCATGTGTAGCTTTTCTGGCATTAACATATTTTCTTTTGACTTGTGGCTATCTCTGCTGGAGGTGCAATGAAGCAAAATCAACATGCTCTCCATCACGTATTTTAAGAATGCCCAATACAATCATTTTTTAGTGCTCAACATAATTATTTTTAAAATATCTAACAGAGAGGGGGGGGGGAAAGAGAGAAACAGAGCATTTTGCTTTTGCCTCATTGCCCGTGTAAAGAACTTCCATCGTTTCTTAGCTTAAACAATTACTGTGCCGTGAATCCGACATGTGCTCACTGTCTAGGAGGAATAATGAGTTGTAAAGAAAATAGGTGTGTCTGTCTGAAGAGATCCTTGAATCACTCCTTTTATCATTTTTGCTACACCCACAGGAACTTACTTCCCAAGGTGAGGCATGCTTAAAAACGAAAGACAACGGCACAGAAGACCAGGTGAGGAATTGAAGTTGACCCTTGCAAGCAAGGGAAGGAATGATTTAACAAAGGACTGGTAAGTACAGTGGGAAACTTAGTGCTCTAAATCCTGGGTACTATAGCATCTGCGCCAAAGCATTTCTGGACTTTATTTGAGATATTATTGATATGCTTTTAGTGGACTCTCAGCTCATGATTAAATGGATTTGAGAACAAAACTGAATTCTTGGCTTTGATTCACTTGTCCTTCCTAACCTTCCAGAAAAGCAAGAGAATTTTTATTATCCAGAATCAAGGTTAGTAGACAAAGAAAAAAAAAAAGCATTAAAAGAAGCAAAAATCAGTACACGCTCCAGGTACAGATTTCAAAAGCAGATTGCTTACTTGCTTTATATCTTCACCTTCAAGAGTTATCTGTGTGCTCTGTGGTTATAACTTAATTTACGAATGAAAGTCCCATCATAGCAAAGTAATCTCTGACTAGTCGGGTTCTCCAAAGGCTGTATACAAATGTAGTACTTTTTGTTCCTTGGAAAGAATAGAATGAAACATCAACTTCAGGCTATTACTGCTTTAGTGAGTCTTATCTTTGTAAGGAAGTATTTATTCAGAGATTTTTAACAAAAGCAAACAGGTGAAAGGTGAACTGAGAAGAAACTAATGATTTGGAAGCTAAAGAGTATACAGTTGAAATATTGTCTTTAGGAAGCAGTCTTTTTCTAATTAAACAGGTATAATAGAGAAAACTTGTTGTGCTCTGCACATCCATGGCCTGGTCACACATGGGATACACATAAAAGTATATGTGAACAATGTGGTTTGCTGGGGGTTGTAGTCCAAAAAGCTAATTTTCCTATTTCTGGTTATGGCTCACTCAGCTATATATGAGTGAGCCATATATATAAAAATACAGATATATAGATATATATAGAAAGAGTTCGTTCTATCGCAATCTAGTGTGTCATCAAATGCTCTGTATATACTGTATACTGTTCTGTATCCTGTTACACAGAAATACAGTGGTGCCTCGCTTAACGAGCGCACCGTTTAACGACAAATCCACATAGTGATGTGGATTTTAGGATTGTTTTTACAATTGCATTGCGATGTTTTAATAGGCTAAACATCGCATTGCGATGATCGGTAAGCGTTTCGCTTACCGATCTTCGCATTGCGATGTTAGGGAAACAACTGATCAGTGGTTCCAAAATGGCCACCGGATCATGAAAATGGCCGGCCGCAGCGTTTTTGCGCCCTGCCCTCGCTTACCAAGGCAGCGAAAATTGCGGCCGGATGGGGAATCTTCGCTTACCAGTGAGTTTTCCCCCCATAGGAACACATTAAACGGAGTTTAATGCGTTCCTATGGGGTTTTACGTTCCGTTTAGTGATGTTTCTGGATAGCGACGTTTTTCCTGGAACAGATTAACGTCGCTATGCGGGGTACCACTGTATTGTATCATTAAAAGTACTCTGGGCTGCAAGGTTGAAGAATCAGCAGTTTGAATCCATGCAACGGAGTGGTATCACTAAAAGTACTCTGGGCTGCAAGGTCAAAGGATCAGCGGTTTGAAAGCATGGAAAATGTGACTAGATAAATAGGTACTACCACGGTGGGAAGGTAACGGTGTTCCATGTCTAGTTGCACTGGCCATGTGACCACGGAAACTGTCTATGGACAAACGCTGGCTCTACGGCTTTGAGACGGGGATGAGCACCGCCCCCTAGAGTCGGACACGACTGGACAGTTTGTCAAGGGCATCCATATATTCTGAGGCGGCAGACACTGCAATTCTGGGAATGGGTCTCCTGATTATTGTATAGAGCATCCATATATTCTGAGGCAGCAGACACTGCAATTCTGGGAATGGGTCTCTCCATCTTTTCAGTAATATGGACACCTCTGCCTGTGATGCCCTTCCTTTTGCACACTGTTCAGTTTCCTTCACTAAAAGCCCTGACGTTCAGAGGAAATCTGTATGGAGTCACAAGGTGTGTTTTGTGTGTCTTCTGACTTCTTGCCACATCAGACTAGCATTTTTCTAAAGTAGAACCTACTGACTGTTTGCAGTTCTAGACTGGTCCACCATATCATAATGATACCGTTGTAAAACAGCAGTGCTGCTTTGCTTTTGCCATTCCCCTCACTTGTGTCACTGATCTCTCCTCACCCCCCCGCCTCTTATTTCACAGAGATCTTCAGCTTTTTGAAATTTCATAATGTGGATATTTCTCCTCCTCCTGGGTAAGTGGCCTTTAAGCATATATCCCTTTTAGGAAAAGGAACTTCAAATTCACTTATTTATTAATGTTAAATACACTGAGTGGACTCGTAGTCCAGATAGGCGGGTTATAAATCAAATAAATTATAATAATAAAAAAGATCATACAGTATGTGAGTTTTTGTGAATCAGGACGACTTTGTCAAGCGTTTATCACTGTGAAGAAAGTTAACAAAGAGGAGTGAAAAAAAAGGATGGATGAAGGCATGAGAAAATGTGGGAGGTGGAATCATCTGGATCCTGGTAAAATTATGCGAATGAAACAGGACATAAAATAAGCCAGCATGGTAAAAGCTGTTGGTGTTAACCTGTTGATGACTTATGGAGCATAATACACTGGTGACAGTAACTACAGTGGTGCCTCGCTTAACGAGTGCCCCGCTGAGCGATGAAATCGCTTAATGAGGCACTCTGGACCATCGCTGGAGCATTCACTCAGCGATGGCCCCTATGGCGTTTTTTCGCTTTGCGATATTCGAGATTTGTGCTTGAAATTGACTACAATCAAATGTGTTGTCAAGACCATTAAGTCAAAAGTCCTTCTGCAGCCATTCTGTCTTTAGTTCATTATCAAAGAGGAGTGAAAAAAAAAAGATGGATGAAGGCATGAGAAAATATGGGAGGTGGAATCATCTGGATCTTGGTAAAATTATGCGAATGAAACAGGACATAAAATAAGCCAGCATGGTAAAAGCTGTTGGTGTTAACCTGTTGATGACTTATGGAGCATAATACACTGGTGACAGTAACTACAGTGGTGCCTCGCTTAACGAGTGCCCCGCTGAGCGATGAAATCGCTTAATGAGGCACTCTGGACCATCGCTGGAGCATTCACTCAGCGATGGCCCCTATGGCGTTTTGTGAGTTTTAAAGCTATGGATTTTTAAATTCTGTTTAGCGATGTTTCGCTATAGTGAAGGTTAATCCGGAACGGATTAACCTCCCTATGCGAGGCACCACTGTATATGCAATCTCTACCTGATCTCCACTGCCCATGTAGAGATCACAAAGCATATCCACTCATGACAATGGGACTTCTGCTTGTACAAGGAAGTACTGGACCACTGTTTGTGCAAGATCCACAGATGTCACTCTGCTCACATGGTGGCCTGTTGCACAAGAAACAATCAAACAGGGTTCCTTCCCCTCTCTGAAAAATTCCTTGATGAATGTGCTACAGCTGTGTTACCAGCATTAAAAGAAAAAAATCTTGAAAAGATAATTTTCTGGACTTTTATTATGCACAACCCATTTCTTGAAAATCAAGTTACTGGGTGAAAGAAATACTGCATCCAACTAGACAAATGTGACAAACTTATTTATTTAATAAGTTGAATATTCAAATTGCTTCAAATGCATTACAGGAGAAAAAGAGAGAGAGAGAGAGACAGAAAAAAGTGAGTGGTTGATCTCACCTGTTTTAACACTCTGGCCACATCTAACATGGGCTTCATCCATGTTCACCACCTGCATGTGTCTCCCAACAGCTTATCTCACAGAAAAGGCAATGTTCAACAGAAATAAGATTGTCCATCCTTGGTGACTATCCTAAGACTACATAAGTGATTACAGGTGTGAGCTTCAGTCATAGAGTTCCTAATTCCTACACTACAGCATAATCATGACTTAAAGACATAGTAGTTAACAAGAGATCAAGACTAAGCACAAGGCTCTCTGCCAGCACATCCTCTCCTCTTCACAGATTTCATACATCTGCCAGAAGAACAGTAACCTCCTCCAGCCAAGGGCCACAGTCATAATGATGGTAACAAAGTTAGGCCAAGGTGAAAGTGGTTCTAAGTTATTTCCACAGCCTTAAACTGGTTTCCATACAGCTTCAGCTGGCCTGATATTGGCTCAGGTGGCCCTGACTTTTAGACTGCAATCTTCTTAGCCATCTAGCAGATTATACCACACCAGTTTTTGTGGCATCCCTGGTGAAGCACACAAGATTTATATATCAACTTGATCAATGTTGGCTTTTATGGTCTTCTTTCAGTCTCATTTAAAGACATTATTAAAATCTGGTTCCTATGTTTTTCCTAGCTTCCCCACAATTTCTGGCAGCACAGAATACTTGCTCGCATGGGGCTTGCTATCCACCTGTGCGAGACCTTCTGATTGGAAGAATCCATCACTTGAAAGCTTCTTCTACTTGTGGGCTTGTCCAGCCTGAGACCTACTGCACTCCATATGGGCAAGTATGTAAGACAAATGTTTTCTAATACTGGCAGAAGCTTTATGTTTGTGCCAAACAGATTAGATACTGTTTCCAATAAGGAACTACTGCTATTTTTTAAAAAAAAACTCTAAGAAGTGTGGTAGGATGATTCAGTTTGATGATAATGCTATGGGACTTTGGAGGGATTATAAGTGGAATCAAAAGTGATTTTCCTGGAGAATATGAGTGACATGAGCTTCTCTATTTGCTCTGGATATGGTATATCTATATTAAAGTTTTAATCCTTATGATTATTTAATGTTAATAGTATCAGCAGCTGCCACAGCACAGGTAACGCTTGCATTGTGTTATTAAAAACATTTTAAATGAAACAATAAACAGTTTGGATATTTGAAGAACATAGAGACAAAAAGGGATGGGACTAGGCACTGCCTTCTAAGTATGCTCACAGTGGGAACAGCATATGGTTGAAGAAGGCCTGTGTCCTGCAGGAGAAGCACAAAGGGCCATGGTTAGGTGAGGAGAAAGACTTATTCTTGTAGTGCTCAGAGTGCAGTGCAATGCAGGACATAGGTTCCTCCTTCATGAACAACAAATATTTCTGTGCCTCGCTCACCTGAAAAGCTACTGCAATGGTGTGGTTAGTGTGTTAGACTAGAATCCAGAGCCTTGAGTTGAAATCCATGCTCAGCGATGAAACTCACTGGGTGACTTTGGACACATACTTTCTTGACCTAATCTACCTGACAAGACTGTTGTGAGGGTAAAAGAGAAAGGGGCATGTGTGTCTGTATGTCACCTTGAAGACCTTGGAGAACAGCTGAGGCCTGCAAGAGACAAATACAGGGCTGGCAATTTTTGCTGAAAGGATAAATGTTCCTTTAATATTTATATCAACCAAGTGAGTACACAGCTAGAGAAGCTTTCTTCAGGACACTTCTTGCAAAACTTATTTTTTTTAACCTAGTTGAATCCTTAGGTATGAGGGAGCTGTTAAGGCACCAGGAGCTTTGTGGTGGTGAGAATGGGGAAGGCAACCCCACTGCTGCTTTTCTGTATGTGAATTGTGCAGCAGTTAGGGGCTTTAAGGATGTGCATTTGTCCAGATTAATTCACATATTCGGCTTTAGTATTCTCTAATTTGGGGCAGGGTGGGAAACTCTTTTGAACTACAATGTCTAAAATCCCTCAGGCAGCAGAGACTGCAAACAATATTGTTGAGGCAATGTTGGCAGTACCATTGCCCACCTCTGACCTTCTTGAAAAGAAAAGCACACTAGCTTTAGTTCTAATTCATTCCATTCTGGCTGTTGCTCCACTTGTATTAGGGCTGCCTCTTGTCATTCTTTTCCCATTAATCAGCTACTGAATACATGTGCAGGCAGGTACGTACATGGCTGGTTCACACACACAGAGTATAAGGTGTGCAGGAGAGGCTAGCCTAT